GGGCCCAGCACAGTGGGTACACACCGCGGACTCCAATTAGACCTCGCCATTCCTGGGGGGCTGCGATCTGTGAAACTGTCGCCACTTTCGAGGCCTGCTGGGGGGCCCAGCACAGTGGGTACACACCGTGGACTCACATTAGACCTCGCCATCCCTGGGGGGCTGCGATCTGTGAAGCTGTCGCCACTTTCGAGGCCTGCTGGGGGGCCCAGCACAGTGGGTACCCACGGCGGATTCAAATGTGGCCTCGCCATCCCTGGGGGTCTGCGATCTGTGAAACTGTCGCCACTTTCGAGGCCTGCTGAGGGGCACATCACAGTGGGTACTCACCGCGGGCTCAAATTAGATCTCGCCATCCCTGGGGGGCTGCGATCTGTGAAACTGTCGCCACTTTCGAGGCCTGCTGGGAGGCTCAGCACAGTGGGTACCCACCGCAGACTCACATTAGACATCGCCATCCCTGGGGGGGCTGCGATCTGTGAAACTGTCGCCACTTTCGAGGCCTGCTGGGGGGCCCAGCACAGTGGGTAGTCACCGCGGATTCAAATTAGACCTCGCCGTCCTTGGGGGGCTGCGATCTGTGAAACTGTCGCCACTTTCGAGGCCTGCTGATGGGGCCCAGCACAGTGGGCTTCCCGCACGTCTTTCTCCTGCTCTTCGTTCCCGACTCCCCATGTCCTCTTCGGGCCTGTAGTTGTCGCCCCTCGTTCTTGTATGATTCTCCTGCGCATCATGCCATAGGCGCGTGTCCCAAGTAGCTTACATATCAAACAACGGATCCTGCAATTTGATTGTCCATGCAAGTTTCGGCCAACTCCTCGTTTCCCATGATACAAATGGGTTGGGTACGTCACAGGTTTTTTTTTTGCAAGTTGGGACTCCTACTCCCTAACCTCGTTCTCGAGCCCCATCAAGACTTCGGGGCCACATGGGAAAATGTTTCGGGAATGCGGTTGAGCTCTCTGACGCTGTCTTGGCACTCTCTTGGATCGTCTTCGTGTCCTCTGGGCTGCCCCTGAAACCATTGTAGAAATCGAGATCCCATGATCCTATGAGTTGAAGCGGTGGAATTTTAGAATTCATTTTTTTCAAGCTCACCCCCTGCTTATTTTTGCCCGAAGACTTCCAGAGGCACCCCAACAGACCGTAGCCTGCATGCAGAAAACGTCTCACCCACAGCCCAGGCACTACAACTTGAAAAAAAAGGGAAGTCCCACCATTCCGTTTTTTCCCAACCCTCCTGCGTTGGGCTCTCGTTTTGAATAGAGCAGTGCTCGCGCGAAGCTTCCCCCCCCCCGTCCCTCTCTTCCCCCCTGCCTTTGACCTCGCTCGTCGCTGCGTTTCGAGGGCTGCTGGGGGGCTGCGATCTGTGAGATTGTCGCCACTTTCGAGGGCTGCTGGGGGGGCCCAGCACAGTGGGTACCCACGGCGGATTCAAATTGGACCTCGCCATCCCTGGGGGGCTGCGATCTGTGAAACTGTCGCCACTTTCGAGGCCTGCTGGGGGGGCCAGCACAGTGGGTACACACTGCGGACTGAAATTAGACCTCGCCATCCCTGGGGGGCTGCGATCTGTGAATTTGTCGCCACTTTCGAGGCCTGCTGGGGGGCCCAGCACAGTGGGTTACCCACGGCGGATTCAAATGGGACCTCGCCATCCCTGGGGGGCTGCGATCTGTGAAACTGTCGCCACTTTCGAGGGCTGCTGGGGGGCCCAGCACAGTGGGTACCCACGGCGGATTCAAATGAGACCTCGCCATCCCTGGGGGGTTGCGATCTGTGAAACTGTCGCCACTTTCGAGGGCTGCCGGGGGGCCCAGCACAGTGGGTACCCACGGCGGATTCAAATGTGGCCTCGCCATCCCTGGGGGTCTGCGATCTGTGAAACTGTCGCCACTTTCGAGGCCTGCTGTGGGGCCCAGCACAGTACCTCGTAGAGCTCTTCGGCAAGATGAGCTAAGAGGAATTCGGGCGCAGGGTGGAGCTAGTTGGCCGACCCGACCTTAAGAGACAATGTGTTAACTTTGGGTCGGTTTTTCAATCTTTGTGCGAAATTTGAACATTCGTTTTGGGAACTGGTATTTTTCTCACCTGTAGTGGGTTATGCCGCGTCTGCCATTTAAATTCTCAGGTCCGTAGCTGCAATATTACTATCAAAAGACTTGCTGGAACCGACGGCCGTTTCGAGTCATCTTGACACGCGTTGACGGTTTTCTGTACTTATCTCGAGATTTAGGACAGCTACAGAGCTGATGCTTACAGAAACCGATTCAGAATCTTGAGGCGCGTTCGTCTCTCCCATCGAGAGCTCTGAACTCGGTCTGCTGCTCGAGCTAGGTCCGCAAATCTATTCGTAATCTTCGAGTCATTTTGACAAGTGCTGTTGGTTTTCTGCACTTAACTCACGATCCAGAATAGCTACAGAGCTGGTACGCACATGATAGGATTCTGTATCATTAGGCGCGTCCGTCTGTTGCATCGAGCGGTCTGAACTCGGTCTGCTACCCGAGCTAGGTCCGCAAAACTATTCGTATTCTTCAAGTTCTCTTTGCAGGCGCTGTCGGTCTTCTGTACTTAACTGAAGCTGTAGCAGAGTTGCAGAGCTAGGACGCACGGAAACCGATCCAGAATCATCAGGGGCGTTCGGCTGGAGCATCTAGAGCTCTGAACACAGTCTGCTACCCGAGCTAGGTCCGCAACACTATTCGTATGCGGCCGATTTTTTTTGGAACTCAAGGTGCTTTTTTCTACTTAACTCGAGCTCCAGATGAGCTTGAGAGCTCTTTCGCACAGAAATCTTGAAGAAAACTCCCTCAATGTGTACCGGGCAGCCCCGCACGAGAAAAGAGCTCTACGAGGCTCCCGGTGGTAACCTGGTTGACGGTTTACCGCCGGCTCCCAGTGGGTACACACCGCGGGCTGAAATTAGACCTCGCCATCTCTGGGGGGCTGCGATCTGTGAAACTGTCGCCACTTTCGAGGGCTGCTGGGGGGCCCAGCACAGTGGGTACCCATGGCGGATTCAAATTGGAACTCGCCATCCCTGGGGGGCTGCGATCTGTGAAACTGTCGCCACTTTCGAGGCCTGCTGGGGGGCCCAGCACAGTGGGTACTCACGGCGGATTCAAATTAGACGCCGCTTTCGTCCTTGTTCTCCTCCTGCAGTCACCTTCCCTCTGCTGCTGCCGTGCTGATGGTTCGGCTTCCCGCACGTATTTCTCTTGCTCTGCGTTCCCGACTCCCCATGTCTTCTTCGAGTCTGTAGCTGTCGCCCCTCGTTCTTGTATGGTTCTCCTGCGCATCATGCCATAGGCGCGTGTCCCAAGTAGCTTACAAATCAAGTTGATTGTCCATGCGAGGTTCGGCCAACTCCTCGTTTCCATTGATACAAATGGGTTGGGTACGTCACAGGTTTCCAAGTTCGCCCCCTATCTTTTCTTGCACAACATACCACAATTAAGGCCCCAGAAAGAGCCCAGGACGCCCTCGAGGGCCCCAAATCGTTGAATACCTAAAGGCAATTAGTGTTTTTTGCGTTTCCGCAGTTCGCCTTCTATACGATTCCGAGGCTTGCGCAGGACCTCCAAGAGAGTCCCTGGATAAGGAACGACAAGGACGATATTCCATGTGGTCGCCTATCAAGCCTAGCTAGAACTTGAGCGCGCGCGAAGCGCGCGATGGTTCTAATGTATGTATATAGTTGTATGTCTGTTTGCATGTGCGTACATCAATATACGCAGACACGTATGTATGTATGTATGTATGTATGTATGTATGTATGTATGTATGTATGTATGTATGTATGTATGTATGTACATATGTACATACATATATATACACACGTAATACACACATGTCTACGTATGTACGGCGTCCATGCACGTGCGCGCGTATGACACGTGTGCACATATCCGCGCGCGCATGTGCACGCGCACGCACGCCGCACGCGTGCAAAACTCGAAAGATTAAGGTGCATGGCGCGAGGCGTTTCTGAGAAGGGTTAAAGTTATATTGTAATGGCCTCCGGCCAGTGCCGCCGATCTGGGGCGCTCCCGATGCGTGTGGGAACGGACGATGACGACGACGACGACCGACGACCGGGTCAACGACGGACGATGATGACGACGACGTCTCTCCTCCCCCCGCTGCCCTCCCCGGTTTCTTGGACCCCCCCCCCGCGTGAGTTCGACCCCCCCTCCGTCCCCGCTCGAGCTTCCTCCTTGGACCCCCCCCCCGCTTGAGCTCGACCCCCCCCCCGTCCTCGCTGGAGCTCCCCCCCCCCCCCCCTCGATTCTTGGACCCCCCCCCCGCGCTGACCCCCCCCCCCCGCTTGAGCTCGACCCCCCCCTCCGTTCGACCCCCCCCCGTCCTCGCTCGAGCTCCCCCCCTCCCCTCGATTCTTGGACCCCCCCCCGCGCTGACCCCCCCCCCCGCTTGAGCTCGACCCCCCCCTCCGTTCGACCCCCCCCTCCTCCTCGCTCGAGCTCCCCTCCCCCCCCCTCGATTCTGGACCCCCCCCCGCGCTGACCCCCCCCCCCCCCCGCTTGAGCTCGACCTTCCCTCCGTTCGACCCCCCCTCCGTCCTCGCTCGAGCTCCCCCCCCCTCGATTCTTGGACCCCCCCCCCGCGCTGACCCCCCCCTCCCCGCTTGAGCTCGACCCCCCCCCGTCCTCGCTCGAGCTCCCCCCCCCCCCCCCCCTCGATTCTTGGACCCCCCCCCCCCGCGCTGGAGCGTTCACTGAATTGCGTGGATAATTCGCCAGATCCCGACCCCCCCTCCAGAGCGAATCTTGAGCGAGCTCAAGCCCACGCTCTCAGAAACTCACACGCCGGATCGGCGGATTTCGAAATGACGGCGGCGACGACGACGACGAGTATGACGAGGACGACGACACGACGACAACGGGGATGATGACGACGACGGGTTTCACGTCGACGACGGCGACAAGGAGACGAGGTGCGCGCCGCCACATCCTGCGCACCTGCCTGCCCCCTGGCAGGCGTCTATTCGGGCGTCCCGGATGCCGACGTCGTGGGCGCGACCAACGCCGCGGACCTTGCGGCTGGACAGTTCAACCCGGTGCCAGACTGGGAGGGGGCATTAAAAGCGAGGAGGGAGGGGTGGGACGGGAGATGGGAAGGGTCTGGGCCCTGGAGCCTGCGAGGCGGTCCTGGAGGCGCACGCGGCTGGCCCTGGCCAGGGGGTGATGCTTCCACGGACGTGGGGGGGGAATGATGATGATGATGATGATGATGATGATGATGATGATGATGATGATGATGATGATGATGATGATGATGATGATGATGATGATGCTGATGCTGATGCTGATGCTGATGCTGATGCTGATGCTGATGATGATGATGATGATGATGCTGATGATGCTGATGATGCTGATGATGATGCTGATGATGATATGATGGTAGTGGTGGTGGTGGTGATGATGATGGTGGTGGTGGTGGCGGTGTTTTTGGTGGTGGTGGTAAAGATGATGGTGGTGGTGGTGGCGTGGTGATGATGACGTCGACGACGACGACGACGACGACGACGACGACGACGATGATGATGATGATGATGATGATGATGATGATGATGATGATGATGATCTGATGGTGGTAGTGGTGGTGGTGGTGATGATGATGATGGTGGTGGTAATGGTGGCGGTGTTCTTGGTGGTGGTGGTGGTGAAGATGATGGTGGTGGTGGCGGTGGTGATGACGACGACGATGATGATGATGATGATGACGATGGTGATGGTGATGGTGATGGTGATGGTGGTGATGATGATGATGATGATGATGATGATGATGATGATGATGATGATGATTATGATGACGGATCGTTTTGTCTATCTTGTTTTCGGGTTTACGCCCCCCCCCGTACTTTCCATCAGCCACGCCGCCTCGTCGAGTTGCGTCCAGGGTTGCTCGGATCGTCCCGACCGGCCTCCTGAAGCCAGAATTATGGCCCGAAAGCAGATGATGCGGCTGCTGCTGCTGCTGCTGCTGATGATGATGATGATGATGATGATGATGATGATGATGATGCTCATGATGACGCTGCTAATGGTGATGATGATGATGATGCTGATGATGCTGAGGATACTGATGATGCTGCTGCTACTGATGCTGATGATGATATAGATGATGACGATGATGATGATGATGATGATGATGATGATGATGATGATGATGATGATGATGATGATGATGATGATGACGACGATGATGATGATGATGATGATGATGATGATGTGGATGATGATGCTGCTACTGCTGCTGCTGCTGATGATGATGATGATGATGATAATGATGCTGCTGCTGATGCTGATGCGGATGCTGATGCTGCTGCTGATGTGGATGATGATGTTGCTGATGATGGCGATTCGGATGACGATGTTGCTGCTGCTGATGGTGCTGCTGATGATGATGAAGACGATGCTGCTGCTGATGATGATGATGCTGATGCTGATGCTGATGAGGATAAGGATGATGCTGCTTCTGCTGCTGCTGATGATAAGGCTGATGCTGCTGATGATGCTGCTGCTGTTGCTGCTGATGTTGATACTGCTGCTGATGAGGCTGTTGCAGCTGATGAGGATGAGGATGATGCTGATGCTGATGGTGATAATGATGATGCTGCTGCTGATGCTGCTGATGATGCTGATGATGCTGATGATGATCGTGATTCTGCTGCTGATGCTGCTGATGATGATAATGGTGCTGGTGGTGGTGATTCTGATCATGATGATGCTGCTGCTGCGGATGATGATGATGATGCTAATGCTGCTGATGCTGATATGATGATGCTGGTGGTTGCGATGATGATGATGAGGAGGAGGAGGATGAGGCGGATGATGATAATGATGATGACGATGATGATGATGATGATGATGATGCTGATGCTGATGCTGATGCTGATGCTGATGCTGATGATGATGATGATGATGATGATGATGATGATGATGATGATGCTGCTTCTGATGATGATGATGCTGGTGGTGGTGATGATGATGATGCTGCTGCTGCGGCTGCTGATGCTGCTGAATATGATGATGATGAGGATGAGGATGATGATGATGATGATGCTGCTGATTATGATGATGATGATGCTGCTGCTGGTGATGATGATGATGCTGATGCTGATGCTGATGCTGATGCTGATGCTGATGATGATGATGATGATGATGATGATGATGATGATGATGATGATGATGATGATGATGATGATGATGATGATGATGATGATGATGATGTATGGTCGGGTGGGTGTCGAAAGACAATCATCGTCTACGCGGGCACAGGCGGGGAGCCGACCACGCCGGTGTGCAGCACCAGCATGCACCTCGCATTGTACTGCGGCGAGTGTTGCTGCACCCCGCCGCGTGCCGCAGCACCTGCGAATGAGACAGGAGGGCCCTGTCCTAGGCACAACAGGCCTGGAGGAAACGAAGCGATGATTTCCAAAACCGCCGCGAGGGAACCACCGCCTCAGGGAGCCGCCGTTCTTCCGCTTGGTCGAGCGCCTTCTGGTCGTCGTGCACTTAGTCCATGGTCGCTTTGCGCTTCGCCAGCGTATGCGCCACCTGCGTAGGAGCCGCCGCGGGGAAACCGCCGCCGTAGGAACCGCCCCTGGGTGCGTAGGAGCCGCCTGCGTGGGAACCGCCGCGCGTTGGAACCGCTTGCGTAGGAGCAGCCGCAGTGGGAGTCGCTCCCACGTGAGCCGCCTTTGGAGCCGCCGTGGGAGCCTTCGCCGTGGGAGGCGTCGCCGTGGTAACCGCCGCCGTGTGAGTTGCCTGACTCGGAGCCGCCGCCGTGGGAGCCGCCTCCGAGGGAACCGTCGCTGTGGGAACCGCCGCCGTGGGAGCCGCCCGTCTCCATGGGAACTGCCGCCGTGGGAGCCGCCGTTCTTGGAACCGCCGTGGGAACCGCCGCTATGGGACCCGCCTCCATGGGAACCGCCGCCGTGGGAACTGCCGCTGTGGGAGTCGTCGCTGTGTGGAAGCCGCCGTGGCCGGAAATTGAGCGCCACATACAATCCGAAGGGGAAGAGGACGTAGCGGCACCAGATGGACAGGCTGAGCCCATAGATTGCGTGTCGCCGATGCCGCCAGCGCACGAGGGACACCCGGAGCCCGAGGGACACGATGTAGGTGTCAGCGTGCACCGTTGCACCGCCGTGGCCAGACAGCCGGATCAGGTGCTGGAAGATGACTATGGTCACGTGGGCGTCGACGGACAATCACTGCTTACGTGGGCACAGGCGGGGAAACGACCACGCTGCAGCACCAACATGGATCTCGCAGTGTACGCAGGCGAGTGTTGCTGCATTCCGCCGCGTGTCGCAGCAACTGGGAGTGAGACAGGAACGACATGTCCCAGGCACCACAGGTCCAGAGGAAGCGAGACGATGCTGCTCATGATGATGTTGTTGCTGATGATAATTGTGACGATGGTGACGATGATGGTGATGACGGTGATGCTTACGACGGTCACGATGATATTCATTTGATAATGTTGTTGATCACGATTTTGCTGAAAAAGAAGGTGGTGGCGATGCTGGTGATGCTGATGGTGCTGATGATGATGCTGATGCTGATGGTGATGTCGATGGTGATGATGATGGCAACGACGACGGTGATGATGCTGATGATGATGATATTGCGGAGGTGGATGAGGGGGGTGATGGTGATGACGATGATGACGGTGATGGTGGTGATGATGATGATGGTGGTGGTGGTGGTGATGCTGTTGGTGATGATGATGGTGATGATGATGATGATGATGATGATGATGATGGTGATCATGATGATGCGGCTGCTGATTGCGACGGTGGTTGTGATGATGCTGATGATGTGGATGATGATGATGATGATGATGATGATGATGATGATGATGATGATGATGATGATGATGATGATGATGATGAAAATGATGATGATGATGATGCTGATGCTGATGATGATGATGATGATGATGGTGATGAGGCGAAGGAGGAAAGAAGGGCTTGCCCAATCCCGTCGCGGGACATCGTGCCCCCGCGCCTGCGCGCCCTCGGCGGCTACACGTAACGTCGCGCCTCTGCCAGAGGTTGCTTTGGTGCTCGGCTTCTGGCGTGCGCGGGGGCGGCCCCACATCAGGCACGCGGACCGTTGCCGTCCCGTCGCGCGCAGCGACTGGCAGGCCGCGCGCCCAAGGCCTCTCTATTGCCCAGGGTCGCTCTCGTGGGCAGCGGGGAATCTGGGGCAGGGCGGCGGAGCGGGAGGACGGAGGTGTACGATGGAGGATTCTGAAGGCCTTTGCTGCTGCTTGGGCCTCCAGATGCCTCTGGGGGCCTCTGGGGGCCTCCCGGGCCGCTTGAGACCTCTGGGGACTGTCAGAGGGAGGACTGATGCGCAGAAGCAGCAGGGCGAGTAGGCACCCCGCTCTTGCCGCAGGGTGCTCCGCGAGCTCCTTTTCCCGCAGCGCCTTGCCTGCCCTTCCCCTCTCCCCCTCCCGCCCCCTCTGTTCTGCCTTCGGCCTTCGGGAGACAGCCTGTGCCCGCTCGCAGCCCTCACTTCCGCAGCAATGGAAACAGCGTGGATACAGCGGGGCGATGGCCCATCGGCCGCTGTGGCACGTGCGGTCGGGAGCTTCTGGAAAGCGTGTCGCTTCGCTGGTTCTGGCCCAACACGCTTCGCCGCGACACGCTCACTCTCCCATCTCTCGAGCGTCGACGCCCCGAGCCTTTCTGACCCTCCCGCCTCGCGGAGCGGAGCGACACGCTGTCGACTTTCAGGGCGTAGCGTGTCGCCAGGGCCGCCTCCGCGACACGCGGAGCAAAAGTTCCCGACTGGTAGGCTGCTGCGCGACGCGGGCGCGTCGCGAGTCCCGCGCACTGCCTGGCGGGGACGGCAGGGCGGCCGCGTGAGCAGCCTGGGCTCCCGAGCCTGTGCTGCAGCGTGAGCCCAAGTGCCCAGGGTCCACTTCGATCCGATCGATCCACTTCGATGTCGATTCTGGCCGGGCCGATCCGATCCGATTTCGCGGGCCCGATGCGACTCTGTGTTCGCGTGGCGCCGTTGTTCATCCTGGCGCGACAGATCCGATTCGATTTCGGCTCCGTGCCGATGCGGCCCGATCCGACACAAATTCCGACCCTATCCGATGAATCGATTCGATGCTAACCCTCCTTTCAGTGCAGGGTGAGCGTGGCATTCAGCGCGTGTTGGAGTTCACAACTGTACGGCGGGGACACCGACGATACGCGAGTGTCCGTTCACCCCGCCTGCTTGTGTACAATGCGCGCAGCAGCGCCCTCGCTGAGGCTACGGATGCGGTGCGCGTTCGCCATCGCTGCGACTACGAGTGTTTGTTTGCGTGTGAGGTGGGCAGGGGGCTCACCGCCGACGCGGAGCGCAAGGCTCGACGCTCTTGCGCGCCCTGTGCGCGTTCATCAAGAGTGCGCGTGCGTTTTCCGCGTTGTTCTGCTCGCAGTGGGCGGCGGCGTGGCAGTTCTGGGGCTTGGGGCGCGCGATACTACGACGATTGCTTGCGCACTCGCACGGGTATCGCCCCGCCCTCCCTCGCACCGCGCACAGCGCAGTCTCGCCTGTCGGCGCGGGGCTCTGCGCCGCGGTGTCGCAGAGACGTGGGGATGGCATGGCGTCGTCGACTGGCCACCAGTCATCGTGTTCACAGAGGTCAGGGGATGGCCGCCTCGCGCGGCGGCAGTTGTGCGGATCGAAGATGAAGAGGAATTCCAGACCATGGGCTTCACTACATCTTCGCTGGGTTCACTGCTCGGCTTCCTGTTCGGCACCCATCTCGTGTTCCTGGTGCCGTCTGACCCGCTTCGCGCGCCTGCGAACCAAACATATCCCCACCAGCCTGCCCCTGCTCGCCCGGCGTTCGACCCGCTTCGCGCGCCCGCGTACCAAAAAAGTATCCCCACCAGCCCATCCAGAAACGATGTCCAGGCGAGTTGAGGTGATCAGGGAAGTGCGGGAGCAAAGAGGGGGACGGCCGAACCGTACGAAGGAGGGAGGAGGAGAATGATGAGCCTGGATGGATGGATGAGGGAGTGGGGAGAAGGAAGATGAATAGGATGAGGAGGAGGATGATGATGATGATGATGAGGAGGAGGAGGAGGAGGAGGAGGAGGAGGAAGGAGGAGCAGGAGGAGGGCAAGTAAAAGGGCCAGAGGTCTCCTGGATGCCTCTCGCAGCCTCTGGAGATATCTCTTGGGCGCTTCTTGGAGGCCTCTTGGGACGTCTTGGGGGTCTCTTGGCGGTCCTCGGGGGCTCTTGCGCGTCTTGGGTGCCTCGGGGGGACCTCTTGAGGCCGCTTGGGGTCCTCTCGGGGGCCTCTTGGGGCATCTTGGGGGCCTCTTGGGACCATCTTGGGGCCTCTTGGGGCCTCTTGGGGCCTCCTGGGCACTTTTAGGGGCTATCCTGGAGGACATCGATCAAAGAAGGGGGATCCCCAATTAGCGCCTCTAGAGTCTCTAAAATCGCCTCTTGGCGCGCTCTTGGGGCGCTCTTGGGCGCTCTTGGGGCCGCCTTGAGGCTCTCTTGGGCCCCTCTTGGGACCCTCTTGGGCCATCTTGGAGCCATCTTGAGGCCTGGGATGGCCATCAAAAGCGAACAGACGAGAAGGCACAAATCATTTGTGCTCCTTGTGTATTGGAAGGATTTTGGCCTCTTGGAGGCCTCTTTGGATGTCTCGGAGGCATCTTGGAACCGTCTTGGAACCTTCTTGGATCCTGTTGGAGCATCTTGGAAGCCATCTTGAGGCATCTCGGGCTATCTTGAGCCATCTTGGAGGTCATCTTGGGCTCTCAGGGGCCGTCTTGGAGCCGGGCCATCTTGGACGCTCGGTACCGCTCGCGACCGCCCCCGTCCAGGTCCAGGGGAGGGGGTGGGGGGGAGGGGTGAACCCCTCCCCGAAGGGGAAGAAGGGGGTTGGAAGAGGAATCTCTCTGGACCACCTACGCCCACATGGGCTGGTGGGATTGGGGGACTGCCGCGGCGACGGAACAAAAACATATGTTGCCACCTGGGGCAAAGCGGGCAGAGGCCCGAGTCTCGTTCCTTTGCAGGAGAGCTAGACGGGGCTGACGTGGAGGAGCGCGTGACGACGAGGATGGCTAGGAGGCAGTGGGCTTGGAGGGGTAGAGAAGCGACGGGCTGGGCAATGGTCAGGCCGTGCAGGGACGTGGAGTCGGCTTTGCAGGGGGGTGGGGTGGGCGTTGCAGGTCGTGGGCGCTGTGGTCCTGGGGGGCAAGGTAGGGTGACGGGTCTGTCGGGAGACGTGCAGGGTAAACGCTTCAGACCGCCTCCTCCCCGAGGCGCGCGTTCGTTTCGCTGGGTCTCGCAGTGTATGGCAGGGTCGTTTGCAGGGCTTCGCAGGGTGCGGCAGGCTCGATTTGCAGGGTATCGCAGGTCATGGCAGGGGTCAGGTTCGCAGGGTATTGCAGGATATTGCAGGATATTGCAGGATATTGCCATGTCGTTTTGCAGGGTATTGCAGGGTCGTTTGCAGGGTGTTGCAGGGTCGTTGTGCAGAGTATGGCAGGGGTCTGGTTTCCATGGTATTGCAGAGTCGTGGAATCAATCGGCTTTGTCGTGGAATCGGCTTTGCAGGGGGGGGGGAGTCTTTGTAGGGTACTGCAGGGGGGTCGGCGAGTCCTGGGGACAGGGTAGAGGGCTTGCCAGAAAGCATGCATGGGAAACGCTTTAAGACCGGCAGGGGTCTGGTTTGCAGGGTCTTGCAGGATATTGCGGGGGCGTTTTGCAGGGTATTGCAGGGTCGTTTGCAGGGTGTTGCAGGGTCGTTTTGGAGGGTATGGCAAGGCTCTGGTTTCCATGGTATTGCAGAGTCGTGGAATCGGCTTTGTCGTGGGATCGGCTTCGCAAGGGGGGGGGAGCCTTTGTAGGGTACTGCAAGGGGTCGGCGAGATCTTGGGGACAGGGTATTGCAGGGTATTGCAAGCTCGTTTTGCAAGGTACTGCAGGGTCGTTTGCAGGATATTGCAGGGGTTTGCAGGGTTGTTTTGCAGGGTATTGGAGGGGTCCAGTTTGCAGGGTATTGCAGGGTGTTGCAGGGTCCGCGCGGATTCTTTGCACTCCCCCTTTCCAGGGTATCGCAGTGTGCTCGGCGAGGTCCAGGGGAGAGGGTAGGGAGAGGTGTTACTAGGAAGTTGGAAGGGCAAACACTTTAGACCACCTACGCCCAGAGGGCTGGTGGGATTCATGGATCAGGAGTCAGGTTCGTTTGTCGCCTCTTGACGATAATTCGGTCGCTGAATAGTCCCTCCGTCGGGGATCCGCACAATGCGTAAATCACGCAGCCATCGTTCACCACTTCTTGCCGGTGACTGGTCAGCTGAAATTGCGACTCCTGATTGACGGGGCTCGATTTGGTGCGCTCGTGCCACGGTCTTTCGATCCAGTTCAGGCCGACCAGTGCGCCGCTCAGATGACAACTTCTCGGCCCCCCCGTGCTACGAAAGTGCGATCTCATGGGGATGACCGAGGCCAAATGGCGGTGTCCCTGGCTCCGTCCGGGATTCTTGGGCCTGCACTGCCAGTGCGGTCATCCGTTTTCTCCCCTGACTGGTCCCCGTCCCCCCCCTGCTCGTTCTCGCACGCACCAGCGGCGTGCCACGTGCCCGCGTCGTCCGAGTGTCGCCGCAGACATGATGCGCCGCCGCCAGTCGCAGCGGTAGTGTGATCTGGTTTTGACGATTTGGTCAGACCAGGCGCACTTGCCAGGCTTCAGGTTCTTCCTGGGGGTTCCTGCAGGCCCTGCCCAGTGGGCTGAACGGGTTACGATTAGGAGCTCTGGCTTAGCTTGTGGATCCGCTGGTTCTGGCCCACCGCGCGCGCCTCGGAGTGACGCGCTATCCGCTTCCCAACTCCAACTCGCCAGCGTCCCGAGCCTTTCCCGGCCTCCCACCCCGACATGCTATTCATTTGCGAGGTACAGCGTGTTGCCGGGGATGTCGCCGCGACACGCTAAGCCAAAGTTCCCGACCGCAGTCCCTCTTCGAGGTGGGCTGAAGTTGGTCAGCCTTTGCGGGGAGCCTGCGTGGACGCCCCTCCCTGGCCCTGGGTCGGACGGGGCTAGGAGCTAGGACGAGGATGAATCCGTTCCAGAGCGCTCCGGCACGCTCTCAGAGCGTTACGGAACGCTCTGAGAAGGATGCGACGCTTTATACATCCCTCGAATTTCGGTCAAGCGCTCGTCTTTGTGCCTCCATCGCCAGGATCCCCATTCGAGGATACAGTTCGACCGTACACTTGGCGAGCTGCTCTGCCCGTGGCGGGAGGCGCAGCGCCCGATCTCAGAGATGCTCGAATCATTCTTGCCCCATTTTGTCCTCGCCCCAGCTTCGTCCCACTGGGCGACGGAGTGTCCGCTGCCGCCTCGGGCTGGCGGCCGCGCGCCCGGGCCTCGCGCCGTCCCTCGCTCGGACGTGCGCTTTTCTCCCCCGCGAGGGCCATCGAGGAGCGTCGTGGGTCATCCTGCGAGCATGGCCCGCGCAGAGCCGAAGTTTGCTCGGGGAATGGGCGTCCAAGCGAGGGCGGGGTTCGGCCGCGAGAAGCTGGCCAGCCTGTGGCCACCCCGCCTTCCCTTGACCCATTTTTCTATGTACCCCGCACGACCCAGTGGCAGTCCTGCCAGCGCAGTTCCCTGCCAGCCGCCGTTGACCTGCCTTCCAAGGCGCGAACGAATCGATGGACAGCAAATTGGATGCATGGCTGGGCGGATGGGCGAACAGACGGTCGAACAAATGGAAGGGCGGACGCACGGAGGGACGGACGGACGCATGGACGAACGAACGAATGTGCACGCTGCGGTGCACAAACGATGGCTGGCCCCCGATGTAGACGAAACTCGACGGCGACGGCAACGACGACCATGAAGACGAAGAAGACCACGAGGGTGGCAATGCGAAGGCGACGAGCACGGCGACGATGGGTTGGGTTTTTTCTCGCCTTGGGGTCAGCGCCAGGTGCCCAAGCTTCCGGAGACGCTCGACCAGGTCGTCGGGTTTTTTCTGACCATCTTCCCGATCATAGTGCTTGCGAGGTGCTTAGTCGTCGTGATCCTCCTCCTCGTCCTCCTCCTCCTCCTCCTCCTCCTCCTCCTTGTCCTCGTGTCTGTAGCCATTTTGGCTCAAGGCCAATATGGTGTCCATATCACTGCCTCTACGGGGTAGGCTCCCAGAGGCCTCGGCTTTCCGCGCGCTGCCACACCCAGGGGCTTGCAGCGGCCCACCAGCTTTCCTGCTTCTCGCACTGGCCTTGCAGGCGGCCCTACATCTCATCCATATTCTCTCGCCATGCGGTGGTTCTGTGCTCCCGCTGGCGGCTGGCGTCCCGCTCCGTGTACTATGCCCAGCTCTTCAGAGGCATTCCCCAGCATCGCCGAACATCAAGTTGGCCAGGTTCCTGCCACACCAGTTGGTGGCCACCCCACTCCAGTTGCTGATGGCCCTCCTCTTCGACTACTTGGGCTTCCTGCGGATCTCGACCACGCCCTTCACGACCTCATGCAGCAACAGATGTCCCAGGCCGCGGACGCCTTCAGGCAGCAGGCCGACATCCTCCTGGACCAGTCCCGCGAAAGTTTTCGCCAACTCCTTCCACAATAAGTGCTTCAGACCGAGCGCAGGGTGGATTTGCCTCCAAGACCAGGTGGCGCACGCCAGGCGCGAGCAAGATCGCCAGGCCGCAGACCAGAAGAACATGTGGCTGGATATCGACAAGCTGCGCGACGCACTCGCTCTCACCGAGGCCCAACTCCCCATCGCGGACCTCTCCGGGCTCTCCGACTGGGACCTCTCGCCCGACCCATCGGAGCTCAGCGGATCATGTCGCCCAATGTTGTCTTCGACGACTTGCGCGTTTGGCTCGCAGATGCTGGCCTCCAGCCCGACCAAGTTGAACTCCACGGCGACGCGCCTGCCGGGCGCTTCATCCTCCAGGTCAGGGGCGCAAGGGAGGTGGCCATCCCGCGCGCTCTCGCCCGACAACGTGCTGTTCCAGATGCTGCTGGCAGGTGGAAGCGCTTCCACTCCACCGGCGCCAACGGGCAGCGGCTCGACGTATTCATCAACCCAGACAAGTCGCTCACGCAGATCCGCGCAGAGATCCAGTGCGAGGGGCTGCAGCAGCTCCTCGCCCAGCGACCTGCACGCCCGCGTTGGCGCGCACTACTCCGAACGACGGGCGAGATCCTCTGCGACGCCGTGCCGCTGGTGCGCCTCGACCTCAAGGGCCAGGCCGATCCCGCCATCCTCGAATGGAACGAGCGCGCGCTGGAGAACCCAGATCTCAATGGCCTAGACCGCGGAGACGTCCTCACCGCCATCCAGGCCCTCTTCGCAGACACCGAGGCAGCAACGTGGCGTTCCTAGCCGCCCGTGGGCCCCGTGGCGAGAAGTGGGTGCGTCCATTCCGCCCGCCCTCATCAGCTGGAGCGCCCGCGCTTTCATGTGCTCCAGGCCCCGCTGACTTCGCCGCAAGCGAGCAGCTCTCGCCAAGTACATGCGCGGCAAACGCGTCATCGCGCTGCAGGAAGTCCATGGCTCCGAGGCGCTCTTCCGCGCGTGGCTGGACGCGCAACCGGCCGATGCCAGGGGCGGGTCATCCTCGTCGACTGGCGGCGTTACTGTTCTGGTGCCTTGGTTCACGCGCGTGCATCTGGAGCGCCTCCGCCACGACCAGCTTCCAGTCCTCGATCGCGTCCCGCTGGTCCGTGGGCGCATTCAACAGCTGGTCATCAGCAGCGCGAACACAGGCCACTCCCTCGCCATCATGAACATGCGCGCGCATGAACTTCAAGCGCGAGATCGTGACAGGGTCCGCGCGGCATCGCACATGCTCCGCGAATGGGCCGCGCGCGACTACGCCGAGCGCGCCTTCTTGGCCATGGGCGACTTCTACGCCGCCAGTCGCCCACCTCCAACCAGCCCCGGGCGCAGCGCTCGCGCCTCCAGCTGGACAACAACTGCCGGCAGCAGCCCTTCTGGACGGTCCTCCTCGACTCCATGCTGGAGGTCGAGTCCGAGCTCCCTGGGCGGACTACGCGGCCTCCTCCATCGACCGCGTGTTCATTAGCCTCCCCTCCAACGCGACGCAGGAGCTCTCCGTGGCTGTCCGCGTGCTGCACGACTCTGCCATCATGTCTGACAGGCGCCTCAGCGACCATGCCGCCACCTCCTTCTCGATCGGCATCGAGCCACGCACGCCGCCAGCTGAACGAGCCATCCCACCAGCAGTGTCTCATGACCCCAACTACGCCACCTACCTGCAGAACGTCATTGACGCCGCTGACACGCAGCACCTCCCCGTCGAGAGGCGCTGGCGCACGCGCTAGCGGTGCGTGGCGGAGGCCGCCCGCATGGTCCGCGCCGACTGGATCCGCCTCTGCTCGGGTGACCTCGCCAAGCCTGGTTTCCTGGGTGGCGGGGTCATCGCCGCGCGCTTGATCTCGCGTGCGATTTGGCGTCAGGACGCGCAGCTGGCACGGCGGCTGCGTGCTACAACGGAGCTGGGAAAACGTTTCCTCGACATCGACTCCCCGACCTTCAAGCTCACTGACGACGCCCAGTTCGCGAGCCTCTCGTCCTCCCTGCGCCGCGACTTCGAAGCTCGCCGGCGCTCTCTGGCGCAATGGGCAGCGAGGCTCCCGCGGAGCCATCCCGAGGCCTTGCCCCCCAGAGAAGAAACTCCAGAAGGTGCTGCGGGCTCCCCAGCAGCGCGCCCCCCCCTGGGTCTCCTGGAAGCGCCGCGGGCCTCGAAGGCCTTCCTGCCGTAACCGGAGAGAGCGGCAAAATGTTTAACGCCTTGTGCAATCGCTGGCGCCCCGTCTTCGCCTACAATACCGTCTACTTTGACGCCGTCGACGCGTGCATCGACGCGCGCGTGCCGCAGGGCGACAAGCTGGACATTCTGCCGCCGTCCAAGCACCAGCTGCGGGCCTTCCTTAAACAGACATCCCCTTCTGCGCCTGGCCCCGACAGCCTGCCGTGCAACGCGCGGGCCGCTCGCGACCATTCGCTCTCCGTCCTGGAGGACACGGCCTGCCGCCTTTGCTCAGGGCACTCGATCCCGCGCGACCTGAACGACTCGGACTTCGCATTCGCGCCGAAGGGCGACAACCTCTTGGGCGAGACCACCGCGGATCGCCTACCAGAAGACACTCGGCCGTTCTCGCTGAAGAACATTGATGTCAAGGCCGTCGCAGGCGCCGCGAACCACCTTGTCAAGCCGTTCGTGGCCGAACGGGCCCACGAGGCGCAGCAAGGCTTCGTCATGGGCAGGAACATCAAGTAGCACGTCGTGCGCTTGGACGCGGATATGCGTCGAGTAGGCTTCTGGAGAACGCCGAGGGGCTCCACCCCGTCCTCGTCGGCTTCGACTTCGCGGCGGCCTTCCCATCGCTGGGCAGAGCGTGGCTCTTCAAGGCGCTGCGCCGCTTCGGACTGCCGACTGGCTACATGTATCTGTTCGAGGCCATGTGCCATGCGCCCTCCTCCTCGGTCAAGGTCGTCGGCGGTCGCCGCCCCGTGTTCGCGATCGAGTCTGGCGTCGATCAGGGCTGCCCAGCGAGCGGCTCCGCAGTGGCGATTGCGATGGGCCCGCTGTTCCGCCGCATCGCCGCTGCCATTGGCCTGGGCAACGCGGGCGCCACCTCGTCGGACTACCTGGGCGCTTGTGCTGATGGCCTGGGCATCCTGTGCGACTCCTTCGGCGTGGCCGGCAATGTGACTGAGACCTTTGACGCCGCCGCGCGCCTCGCGCTCCTGTCGCTGAAGCCGCGCAAGTGTGTGGCTGCCCATCGTTGGGCGCCAGCGTCTCCTGCCACCGTGGCCCGTGCCCAGGTCCTGCTGTCAGAGTTCTCGCCTGCCTGGCGTGCTTTTTCGATCGAGGGGCGTGCCAAATACCTCAGGATTTTCCTCGGTCCGTCGGCCTCTCTGACCGACCGCTGGCGCGCCCCTGGGCAGAAATGGTGTCAGCGCGCCCACTCGCTTCAGTATGTGCACGCTGGAAGCGATGCTACAGTTCGGCTCTGTAACGCGTCGGTGCTCTCTACTTTAAGCTATGTTAGCCAGTTCTTTCCAGTCCCCGCCTCCACTGTACATCGCGAGCAGTGCATTTTCCACGAGATGCTAGGCCTGCCGCCGAACGCATTCCGCAAGGTTGATCTTCTTGCGATGGCGGACTGGTCGCCACCGCCCGTTCTCTGCTCGCTGCAGGTCATGTCGCAGCCGCCGCCCGCTCAGCGTCACTTGCTCGCCTCCGTGACGCTGCGTGGGAGGAGAGTGCAGTTCACTCTTTCCATCGCTGGTTGGATGGCCTGTGTTCTCCCAGCTTCTGGGTGCAACCACGCGCGATCGTGTAATTCTACGCCCAGCTGCGAGAGGCGCAGCGCACGCCGCCGTTCACGCCCGCCATGATGCAATAAGTTCATAGCGCAGCGCTGGCGGACAAGGAGATGGCCAATGGAGCCAGCCCGCCACGCCGCCACCACTTCCAGCGTGCCTTCGCGGCCTCTCTGCGCAAGGCTGCTTTTGCATCGCCGTTCACGGCTGCCTTCGCAAAGCGGGTCGCCGCGTGGGGCTTGCACGTCGACCCTGCGCTTTTGGCCGACCGCTGGGAGACGCTCACCAGCGCGCTGAGCAGTGTCCAACCGAGCTGGGGTTGGGCGACTCAAAGGAATCTGCTGGCGGGTGGACGACCGCCGCCCGCCTGCATGTGCTTGCGCCCCGCTGCTGTGTGTTCGGCTGCCACGATCAACCATCTTCATTTCCCCACTACCTCTCCTGTCCTCGCCTCCTGGGCCTCCTCTCGCCCCCTGGCCCTCCACCCGTCCCCAACGCTTTAGAACGCTGGGGGCTTGTCCCCGCCCTGCGGCTTGCCCGCCTGTGCCTGGCGAGTTGTCTCTGCGTGCCGCGATTCGCCGCATGGTGCTAGCCTTCCATATGTACAGCGCATTCAGGACGGCCACAACCAGCTCGCATAATGCACTGCTTGCCGGCCGCTGCCCGCGTTCTCGTCGCGCGCTAGCCAAATCTCCCGCGTTGTGCATGGCGGCCGAGCCTCAGGAGACTCGTTCGCCTCAGGCTACCCGCGCCCCTCCTTGTCCTCGGAGAAGTCGGAGTTCCGCGCGGAGTTCTTGGATCGACTCTGGACCCCCTTCCCTTGCGCGCGGAGCTTGCCAGGGGCGGCGCCGAGAGCTCCGCCGGGGGGATCAGCGCCGATCCAAGAAATCCGCGCGGGCCTTCGCACGTTCATGCGTTGCGCAGTAATGTCCTTCGCGAGCGACTTTCGGCGTCGCTTCCTGTGGCAGTGCTGGCCGCTTGCTGTCGCTGTCACGCCGTGCAGCTGTTCGGCGGGTCTCAGCGACCCCTTCTGCTGCGACGGCTGCTCGATGGGGCGGCCGCGCGGAAGAAGCTGTGCTGGCGACGCGCTTTCTGAAGCAGTTTCTGTTTGGAGCTGGCCGGGGGGCTGAAGTGGCCCAGCACTGGTCCTGGCCAGCAGAAGGGGGGATGAGAGGGCTCCCTCGCCGCCGCGACTGGACGCGTCTTAACCAACTGGTCAGTTTGACCCGAGGAGAGGCGATTTTGAGAGGATTTGCCTTCGTCACCCCTCTTGACCCGTTTCCTCGGGGCCCATCCAGCACAGACCCCCTGGCCGCTTTCAAGGCTCTGCCCCCTCCTCCCCACGGTATCGTCGCGATTCTCGCGGGCTCTGTCTGGGGATGGCCAGAGGTAGCCAGTTCCCAGACGGCGCGAGCCCAAATCGTGACGTTAACGGCTCCAGCCCCTGCCCCTTCCAGTATCGCCCGTTATCGCCATATGGTAATATGAACCCAGTGCGACCCCAATTTTGGGGAAACTTTCTTCTTTCATGGGCGGAGTGCTTAGCATAGCTTGGTATTGCTTGGTAATGCTTGGCATTGCTTGGCATTGCTGGGCATTGCTGGGCATCGTTTGGCATTGCTGGGCATCGCTTGGCATTGCTCGGCATTGCTTGGCATTGCTTGGCATCGCTTGGCGCTGCTTGGCATTGCTTGGCATTGCTTGGCGTTGCTTGGCGTTGCTTGGCATTGCTTGTCATTGCTTGGCATTGCTTGGCAATGCTTGGAACGGGCACAGTAAGAATACGAGGCACCGGGGGCGGGGAACCCAGGGATCTCGGGGAACCCGAGGAACCCGAGGAACCCGAGGAACCCGTGGAACGAGCATAGTAAGAATACGAGGCATGGGGGACGGGGAACCCGGGGAACTGGGGGAACCCGGGGAACCCGGGGAATCCGAGGAACCCGAGGAACCTGAAGAACCCGAGGAACCCGAGGAACCCGAGGAACCCGAGGAACCCAGAGAACCAGGGGAACCCGGGAACCTCCGAGCAGCGGGCAACGTAAGACTACAAGGCACCAACCTTTAGCCGAGTAAGAACCTCTTAGGCCAGCCTAATTGGGGAAAAACAGGCTCTATGGGGGAGGAGGGGAAGTTGACGTTCGAGGTGGATCTTTGGGCTCCTGGGTGGAAGGGGCCCTCGTCGCCACGACCAGATGCACTTCGAAATCCTGGTCACAAAACGCTCCAGGAGAGGTTTTGAGAATTGATTTTGAGAAGAGGAGAACTCGTGACCCGCTCCAAGAGAGGTTTCGTGAGGATCGATTTTGAGAAGAGAAGAACTCATGATATTCGTAGCCTTGCAACTGAAAGACTAATTACGCAAACGAAGAGAACTGATCGGATCCGGAGGCATGGCACAGTAGGCCATGGACGCGTCAGCTCTGCTGGGGGTATACTCCGGCCCAGCTGGGGCCCCGAAAATTAGACCATGTGGCCCAGCATGACGGCACCCCGTCAGAGCGGGACTGAGAGACGAATTGCTCATCCAGTCCAGTCAACCATCACGATTCGGGAGGGGACTGCTTTGGTTATATCTGCAGGTGAGTTACCAAGCGATACTGCGCGCATATCGGTCGCACATTTGCGGACAGGAGGAGAAGGAGAAGGGGGAGGAGGAGCAGGGGGAGGACAAGGATGACGAGGAGGAGGAGGAGGAGGAGGAGGAGGAGGAGGAGGAGGAGGCATTGTTTAGAAAGCAGCGGGCTGCCTACATTCTTTCCAGTGCTCGTCGTCGTCGTTGTGCTCCTCCTCCTCCTCCGCCGAGGTTGGCCTCCGCGTCTGCCGCCCGCCGCTCCTCTCTTTGCCCCAGTCGAACCTAGCTTGTTTCGTCCCCTTGTCGGGACAGTCGACGTGGAGGTGTCCTCCTGGCCGAGGGGCTTGTGAGGAGTACGCTTGCTTGAGGTGGAGGAGGAGGGAGGAGGGAGAAGGAAGGAGGGAGGGAGAGGGGGAGGGGGAGGAGGACAAGCTTGGTGCGCTCGCGTCATATCTGACGTCCTACCCCTCCCTCCCATCCCTTACCATGGCGTAGGCATCCTCTCTATTCGCATAGTCGGATATCGAGCAGGGTAATGATCGCGAGAGGGTACGCGATGCATGGTAGAGCACGGCATGGCATGGCGTAGAAGAGCATGGCAGAGCGTAGCACCCCATAACATGGCGTTGGATTTCGCAGTGAAGCATCGCATCACAAAGCATTGCAACGCAAAGCATGGCATCGCACAGCGCCGCAGAACACAAAACCGCACAGCATGTCATGGCATGGCGCCAGGTTCCTTGGAGGGTCAGTGGATCGTCTTCGAGAGGTCTGGGCCGGTTTGGATTCGTGGTTCCATGTCTAGCTCCTTGGGCTCCCTGGAAAGCTCCACACAAGGCGGGACTGATGGAGAGCACAGGCTGGCTCTGCTTGCAACGTCGCTTTCTCAAAGCAGAAACGGGGCTCCCGCTTGATATTTCTTGCGGCCTAAGAAATCAGTGAATCGACAATGAATCTGCAATCACTTCCGTTGATTTTTTCGGGGGACCATTTTCTAGATTTCGTGGCCTATTCGGAAGGACCCAAGACGCCCGCGCTGCAGTGGAAGCTTGATTTCGGAACAACCAGAGGCGCAGAGATGGAGCCAACGCTTCAGCGGGAGCAATATTTTGAAAACAAGCCCGAGCGAATGCCCATTTCCTGGGAATCTTGTGTGTAAGAAAACACAGCACGCGGAGGGAGGAACATCTTCCAAACGTCATCACGGGAGAAGGGAGAGTAATTTTCATATTGTGTAATTGATGATGTTGATGGTGATGATGATGATGATGACGATGATGATGATGATGATGATGATGATGATGATGATGATGGTGGTGGTGGTGGTGGTGGTGGTGGTGGTGGTGATGGTGGTGTGGTGGTGGTGGTGGTGTGAGGAGGAGGAGGAGGAGGAGGAGGAGGAGGAGGAGGAGGAGGAAGAAGGTGGAGGGAGGAGGGAGGAGGGCGCAGGGAGGAGGAGGAGGAGGAGGAGAAGGAGGAGGAGGAGGAGGAGGAGGAGGAGGAGGAGGAGGAGGAGGAGGAGGAGGAGGAGGAGTAGGGGACACCCCCACCGCCGTCGCGCTGGAGTTCCTCAGGGCACAGCAGTGGAGAGGCGTGGGCGGCCCAGAGCGGTCGTGCCTTAGGGCGCCGCCGAGAGGCGGCAGTGGAGGCGTGCTCCCCATGAGGCCCGCCGTCCCTCCTTGGGAGCATCGGGGCGGCGGCTGCGGCGGCGACGACGACGAAGACGACGAGGACGAGGAGGACGACGAGGAGGACGGGGTTGAGGACGAGGACGAGGACAACGACGACGACGAGGACGGGGAGGAGGACGAGGGCGAAAACGACGAGGGCGACAATCACTCATCCAACCGTCCATTTAGTCACTCACTTGTTCACTCGTCAATCATCCGTTCGTTCATTCCGTCATGCATTCATTCATGAACTCATTCATTCTTCTGTGGGGCGAGTCGGGTGAATCTCCAAATCTGCTTCTCTCGTCTTGTTGTGCGTTGTTGAGTGAGACGTCTGTGGGGTGATCGCGTTCTGCCCTCTTGAAAATAGAAGACGCCCATCCTTCTCCCCCGTTCGCGGCCACGCTGCTTGGGCAGCGACGCTGCGTTCCACGCCTGTCTCCACATTGTTGCTGTGCTGTCCTCGAGCGTCAAGCCTTGTTGATATCGGCGCGCCGGGTTGGAACAGCAAATCTTTTAGGCTGCAACTCCTGGGAGGTTGGATTCAGCATCGGCACTGGTATCCAAAGGTCGAAAGCAGGCCCGCTCCGTCACGATCCCTTTTAATTCTGTTTAATCTCGCGCAATTCTGGGCTTAATTCGTGCTAGCCTGGCTCAATGGCCCTTTCATCAGGATCCATAGGCCGTAATCTTTCTTGCGAAGACCTCCCAGGACCAGCCCCTCGTCAAATCTTCTCCCCCCGCTCGGTCGGGGCGTCCGAGGCGAGCTGGGTCAACATGAACGTCGTCTCCTACAACAAGTCGAAGGAGGCGAAGGAGGCCCCTCGGCCCACGCGGGTGGCGCGCCCCGGAGAAGCACACGCCCCCAGCGCGCCCCGCCTCGGCGAGACCGCTCGGCCCCTCCAAGGACACTGATCTCCGACGTCGTGAGCAAGGCGAAGCCTTTGTCATTACCCCAGCAAGGTACCTTGGAGGCTCAAAAGAGTTGTTTCCCCACATCCGTATCCATTTTGGCTCAAGCCACAGTGGATACAGCTAGTTTCCGGACTGCAGCAGCATCCTCAAGCATAGCCTACACGTAGTTATTGTCTCGCGACAAAACAGTTACACACTCTGTCTTCATATGTCTTTAGTGCCCATGGCGGCCATCAAGCTTCCCTTTCTCGTGATCCTCCGTCTCCTTATGCCAACTCGCGGTTGGGAGAGTCTGGCCGATAACGTGGCGTCTGACGTGCAGTTGATCCAGACTCGCGTCTACGAGCAGGGCTTCGACGTGCCAGCGCATGGATCGACTGATTGTGTTGACAACGATTCTGGCGCCGTCCAACTTGCAAAAGATCATGCGCGTGTGTCTGATGTCAGTGGTTGTTCGGATGTCGGTCCGTACTGTGCAGACGCGAACTTGTCGAGCCAAGTTCTTGCAGTGTGCTGTGCCACTTGCAGCGAGGGGCCCGAACCAGAGCCGGACCTGGTGCATTGCCAAGATCATTCGGATTGCCAGTCTTCGGAATTTTGTCATGATGGTACGTGCGACAGCTGCAGCCAGTGCCAATTCTGCTCCGATGCTGCTTACGTCGACGAGTGTGGGCACTGCGGTCCAGGGTTCCCATCGCATGAGACGACTCCCTGTCACTCCCATGAATACGTGGTCACCAAGGGGTCGCTTACGGTGACACATGAATGGAAAAATCTGTCATCAGACGAGCAGCTGCTCTTTCTCGAAAAGAAGTTTGGCGAGCTCGACAAAGATCAGTCTTCAACCCTGGACGTGGACGAGCTAGTGGGCGCCCTGATCGGACAGGACCTCGTCGCGATCGAAGCCGCCAATGGCACACTCAACACCTCTTTTGACCAAGTGTTACTTCCCAGGGCTTCGGTGCAAGAGTTTGTGGAGAAGCACAGCGCCCATGGCAGTGCGTTGTTGACCCTCGACGAGTGGCTCGCCACAACTCCTCAGCTGGCACAGCGAGCTGCCCACCCGAAGGCGTTGCGTGGGCCTTCGTGTACCTTCGAGAGTATCTTCTCACTTCCCAGCACCTGCTCGGAAACACAATGGGTAGATAATTGCGGGAACTCTTGCAATAACGCTTGTACCAGTTGCCCGAGATTGGCGCATACGAATTCGAGCGTTGTTGCGCGGGTTTCTGGAGATTTGGGCTCAATTGCGCGAACGTCTCAAGAGCTTGAGTTCTGGGGCGGGAGGCGTTGGCGTCGTTGGTGGAGCGTCGTCGAGGCTGTGGTAGAGACAGTCGTCGATGTGGTCGTGTGCACTGTGAGCTGTGTCACCAACTGCGTGTGGTCGTGTTTCACCGAAGCGGTGGAGTACGTGTACGAGTGCGTGGTCGACACTGTCGTGAATGTGCTCATGAGCTTCGGAGAATGTCTGTCAGCTGTCGTGAACGCCGTCAACGACGCGGTTGGTGACATATGCGGCTTCGATCTCATCCCCACAAGTTGTTCTGGCGTCTTGAATTGCATTTCGGAGGGGGTGAGCAACGCTCTCTCGTTCTTCGAGTGTGGATTCTCGATACTCTTGGATATACTCGAGAACATGGTCATGGCGAATCTTCGCTGTCTGCCGAACATCGCCGACGGCATCAGGGCCGCTCTATTCCCCCCCGAAGCGATACTTGCTACTGCAGTTTTCGAGGCTTTGTGGAATTTCGGCGAGAGGGTCGTGAACGGGATCTACTCAGAAGCTGCGGCTGTGAACATCGACTTCTGTTGGAACTCAGCCCCCACCGCCGAATTTACTGACTGTGGTGCCTTCGATTTCGTCAGCAGTATGACTATTTGGGACGTGCTTGACGTTTTCGGGATGGCCCAACGTTTCGCGGATACCGTGGCGAAGTTCACCAATTGCCTCACGAAGACTACAAGCCTCCCAGGGCTTAGTTTCGGCATCCCCACTCCTTTCCTGAAAGTTGATTGGACAGGAGGCTCGTGGTGTGCGCCAAGCTTTGTCCAAACTGCGGCCAAAGGAGTTATTGGCGTGTTCAGGTACATAGCTTCAGGACGGATGCTCGATGACCTCATCATTGTAGGTGACAACCTCCTTACCAATCTTCAGACGAGGCTGGAAGCAGTGTTCTGTGACGAAGGTGACTTACTTTACCATCACATTGGGCGTCGAACTCGCGTTCGGACAGGCAGTTCTTGGAATCAAGGCTCAGGCTGGATGCCTCAATGGAAGATTCGCGGCCAAGATTGTCGGTTTTGCTACGGGCAAAATTTCCATCTTCGGGGCGCCGTACAAGCCGAAGTCAAAAGCTTCTGCGTTCTTCAGTATCAAATGTACGGCGGGGCCCTCCAGCACGGAGTGGTCGTACTGGGAGTCGTCTCTGACTGGCAATTTGGGGTTCGATATTTTCGAGGGGTCGGTTTCTCTGCCCCTCTATCCAACGCCGAAGTTCGGAGTTTGGCTATTCGTTCAAGCTCCAACTCTGGGCACAACCTCGCCTGTCGGAGGGGGAGTTCAACAAGACATCGCTGCTGCCGGCGCTGCGCCTCCTCTCTGGGGCTACGTCCGACCCCAGCTTCGGCGAAGACGTCAAGAGCAAGTTCCCAGACCCCAAGCCCATCCTGGAGGGGGCTCGCAACGGCTCGCTCGAGAGGTCCAGCATGAACAGGAGTGCCGCTGACCCTGACCTCAAATATAGGATCGCCATCTCCGTCACGAAGAACTTCTGTTTTATTTGCGACGCTTTCGGATCGGAGCCTGCCTGGGTCTTGGGCCTCTCCAACATGGCTCAGAAGTTCGCCTGCAATGTGGGCCGGGCGATGGCGGGAGCCTCCTGGGGTGCGCTGAGCCTCGCCCAGTGCTTCGCCCGGGTGACGCAGTGGGAGGCGGCCGGGAACTACTGCGAGTATTTGTACTCCGACTCGCCGAACGACGGCTCTGGCAGCCCGGGGACCACTTGCGCCTGTATGCCGCCGAATGCGATGTCTTCCGGGGCTTGCTACGCAGCGGTTGGAACCAGGGCCAGCGAGGGGTCTGCGCAGTTCGTGACCTACCGGCATCAGAGGTTGACCTGCGAGACTGGGAGCGGAGCGGCATGCAAGACTTGTGTCACGCCGCAGGACCGAGTGGTGAGAGACCAGTGTGAGACTTGCAACGACGGCCACATACTGCTCGGTTACGTGTGCTCGGCCTACACGCCGTCGCCGACGCCAAATCCGACGCCGTATCGGACGCCAAACCCAACCCCATATCCAACGCCATATCCGACGCCAAGTCCGACGCCGTATCCAACACCATACCCGACGCCATATCCGACACCATATCCGACGCCAAGCCCGACGCCAGAACCGACGCCAAGCCCAACGCCACTGCCACCCGGCGCCATGCATGTTCCGACGCTAAGCCCGACGCCAGAGCCGACGCTATATCCGACGCCAAGCCCGACGCCAGACCCGACGCGGTATCCGACGTCAAGCCCGACACCAGACCCGACTCGAAATCCGACGCCAAGCCCGACGCCGGAACCGACGGCGACCTGCGTGGACGTTCCAGGGTGGGCGAGTAAGGATGGTACACCTTGCTCCTGGTATAACACGGCCAATGTTTGCACCACGTCTGGAGGCTACGCATCGGGATGGAAGTCTACGTGGGGCACATTTGCAGATTGGGCGAACGATGGATATGACGGTTCGACAGCATGTTGCGGTTGTGGTGGGGGCACGTCACCGATTCGTTGCCAGTACATCGAGATCCCTTCAAACACATTCGGGTATGTTCAATTGCCGTACAGTAGCAACATTCGAGCTGTGTCATTGTGGCTTGCGCCGTACAAGGATGGAGGCTATCACTGTGAGTACATATTTGACGCACGTACAGGATTGGGTGATGGACATTTCTCGTTTCTCGATTGGTCATCTGGATCTGGTAGCGCGCGTATTCACAAGGGCAGTTATTGGAGAGATACGATACATGTCAATGGAGTTGCCGCTACTGTGAATAGAACCGGTGTAATACCCTCATATATACTCCTTATCCTCACCTCTCCTGCGCCTGGCCGTTTGGGCTCAGGTATTGGGACAGATCGATCAGACCTTTGATCGTGCAGGAGGGAAAGACATCCATCTATCCCTCCTTCCCTCTACCAACGGATCAGGGGTTCTGTACCCTTGTACTTCAACCCCATTCACAGGTTTTCAGCCCTTTAAAGCTCACTGTTCATCGAACCCCGCGTCGCGATCTCGCACGCGGCCTCGATGGAACCCAAGCGGCGCATGCGCCGTAAGGGGTCCATCGGGGCCTCGCGTCCGAGCTCTCCGACGGCGCGACGGCTCGGTGACGAGTTGGAGAGCCTTAGTGCGGACTGTGTTGGTGTCCCAGGTACCCCCCCCCCAGCTCCGACGGACCCGAGGCGCGGCTAGCTGCTGAACTTCACCGCAGCGCCGCCCGCGGGGGGACAGGAGAAGGAGTAGGAACAGGTAGGAAGGAGTTCCACACGCCTACCTTCGATCCTCCATCTCCTCCTCAGTCGGGAGCAATCCCAACTGCGTCAGGCGAAAGCCTCACTGGTCCTGATACTCCAGGGCGCTTTCGCGCTAACCGCCGATGGACCTCAGGTGCTGGTACCCCCAGCCCTGCGACCGTTCCTGTTGCGGAGCACGTAGCCACCTTCGAGGAACTCAGTAGACCAGTGGCGGCACAGCCGCAGACGCAGCACCCCAAGGTATCATCGGATGAGACACCACACGCACACACGGTCCTAGTCGCAGCTCGTCCGCGCGCAACCGTCGTGGGGCCCCAGGCCCATACGGCGAGAGTAGGTCGAGCCCGCGTACTGCCTCTCAGAGGCCAAGCACCCTCGCGAGAGGGGACAGAGGGAAGCCTATGCTCCCCACCTCTCCATCTCAGACGACCAGCTGGCGGAAACGTCCGCCGCAGGTGAAATAGCTGAGCTCAGAGACCAGGTTGAAACCTTCGTGTCCAGGCAATACTCTGGACTACTGCAGAGCGTTCAGACGAACGCTGCCAATACTGCAGCCATACGCCAAGATCTTGACGGCGCCTTAGGGATCATCGATTCCAGGATTGCCGAAGATCGACGCATCATAGGTGAACTGCAGTACCAGGTTGATCGTGAGGTGTCACACTCAGGTGAACGAGCGGCGATGGTCGAGAACCTGCGCAACTACCTAGCGCAGATGGAGCAACAGCTTGTGCTCGTACGCGACACAGGCGTTTCAGCAGTCAGGATCCTCCACGATGAGATCCACGACCAGCTCCGCAACCGACCACCGCCAGCCGAGGCCACCGACCTTGGCGACGTTCAGTCTCGGATCAATGATCTTCGATCCCACATAGACCGCACTACGGCGACGCTTCGCAACGAAGCACACACCAACTCGTCGAACCTGATCGACATGTTGCAACGTACTGAGAGAGTCATCACTCAAAGGCTTGATGCGACCAATGCTGTCGTGCAGCCACTCGCTGACCGGATCTCTGACATCGAGCAGCGTTTTCCTGGTGTACAGGACGCCCTGGCAGAGTTGCGTGTCGGACGACCCCAGACTGATCAGCTGGATTCTCCTCCCACGGTTTACGATTTCGCCCGCCTCACTGACAGGTTGCAGGAGGTTGAGAAGGCGGCGGACCACGCGCAGTTGGAGCTCTCCCAGGTTATTCGTGAGAGAGATACTGAGAAAGTACGTGTTGAGGGGCGCCTCGCACGTCTGGAAAGCGAGCTGGAGGCACAAGGCGCCCGTCTCCGAGCCTACGAGCAACGACTTGATCGGTACTCACAACGTTCTCGGGATACTGATGAGTACACACGCCAAAAGGTGGCCCAGATACACGAAGACATGACGAGCTGGACAAATCAGCTGATCGACCACACCGATGACACCAGTCCTCACCTTCGACCTGCAACCGACCTGCACAGGCCGACGGCAGCGTCCGCCGAAGCACCACAAACTTCTGCAGGACAACAACGACGTACGTCACCAGGAGCAGCCTCTGTGGCAGCTTCAGCACAGACACGCCATGTGTCTCCTGTGCGCACAGAACCGACTACTGACGGTGTACCGATGCCCTCACCACCATTGTTTGCGGTTTCGGTCCATACTACTACTCCTATCAAGGAGTCAGACACCGTCCGAGTCCCTGTCTTGCCTACGATCACGCAGCTGCTCGAGTGGCAGCAAAAGGTACGGAAGAACTTTGGCGCCGCCTCAGGGCGACCATCCAAAGCATATGCCTTCCTATGCGTGGCTGAACAGCCCGAGAGTACCTTCGAGGACTTACAAGACAGTGGAGACTTTGAGAGCATCGATTGCAAATTCGCTACCGCTCTGAGCGACATCTTATCCTCAGACTTGCGCTACCAAATCAGGCTCATCGAACCAGAGAACACAAAGCAGGACGCATGCTCAAAGGACGCCAGATATACTGGCACATCCTACAGTCCTACAAAGTAACAGAGGTTGATGACGACCTGCACGACTTCGAGCGCCTTAAAGAACTGAGGATGAGAGATGAAGATTTGCAACGTTTCATTACTGACTGGGACACTTTACTATTGGAGTGCCGAGAAGCACCCGACCCAAAGATCTTGGAATCTTTGTTTCGTACACAGATTCGGAGACATGCTTGGATGAAACAAGACATGTATGAGTACCAGCGCATGAAGATCAGCGACCCGGATCGTACCTATGATTGGCTCCGACAGCGCGTCCTGGACGTACTGGAGCTCAAACAATTGGAAAATAATCAAAATAAGTTACGGTACGAACATGAGACACGTTCTCAAGTCAATGTGTGCGCTGCCTGGAAGAAAGGCAACTGTCGCAATGGTGAGCGATGCAAGGCTTTGCATACCTATTCCAGGGATTGGAAGAACAACAAATCTTCCAGAGCATCGACCGCTGGTGGCAACTCCCGCCGCAGCGTGTCAACCCCTGCGAACCACAAGAAGCCAGCATCGAAACCATTTGGCTTCGAGTTCGCCTAGCGCAACACATGCAACAGAGGCGACAAGTGCAACTTTCCACACGTTGCACAGTGTAAAGACTTCGCACAGAACAAGTGCCCTAAGGGCGACAAATGCAAATACGCTCATCTTGCACCTGGTGCGAAGACTCCCGAGCGAAGCCCGAGTCGACCACGGACCTCCAGTCAGGATAGTCGTGGCCGACCACCATCCCGCGGATCAGGAAGCCAACGTTCTTCACAACGCGGGGGGTTCCGCTACGCAAACGACTCGCGCCATGGACGTGACAACCGACGCCACTACGACCGATTTCGTTCATCCTCCAGGAGGTCTCCAGACTCTCGCAGTCAGTCGAGAAGTCGTTACGACAGATCTTCGATATCTACCTCCCGAGGACGAGACAACCGTGGCGGCGGACGTGGCAGCCCACGCGGCCGTGATCGATCATACGGTAGTGACAGAGGACGTGGCAGACGTTCCACGAGCCGTGGTTCGTCCCGTGGTTCTCCCCACGCCAGAGCACGTTCTCCAGCCAACTATCGACGTTCACGCCGTTCCGACCGCAGTTACGTCATTCGTGACAAGACCTTCATGGCCAACACTAAGTTATGGCCAACACTAAAGGTCATTCTGGGGCCAACACTAAGGTCATTACGACATCTACCAAACCACGCCGTCGAAT